ATTTGGCCGATAACGTCTCCGCAAAACTTGGAGAGATTGGCTTTCGTAGTCTCCGGAATTTCATCAATGACACTCTGCACGTCGACTAAAGGTTCCTGCTTGCGACAAAAACCTCCAGCTTTCGCCCCTGCAGCGATGGCCGCTTTCTTGGGCGAATAGTGCAAGTTCTTTGAGCCGCAATGCCCGCAAAGGGGCAAGCTAGTCGGAGTCATCTTCAAGCATTGTTCACACGCAGCTTGGCACTTCCCACGCACATAGCCCTGGGGTCGTGCGAGCAAGAGGGCTGACTCCTTCTCCTTCACCGACATTTCTGAAGCAGACACGGTCTTTCTGAACAATTCGCAATGGCGATCGACCAAGACAACATTTCGATTCACTGCGCACTTGTGGACAAAGCCAATGCGCTTCCAGCCTGCTATGATGTGCTCTTTGTTGTACCCATATTCCCAAATTTCATGCGCAGCATCAAGGACCTCTAACTGCGTAGCCGGCATTGCTTCACGCCGGATCCTTTGCCACTTCCGTTCTGCTTCGCAATTGGGTGTCTGGTCTAGACACATGACTGCTTTGGTCAAATATGGGCCCAACAGGTACAGGCGCACCCCAAGTTTGTGACACACTAGGGTGCATTGCGTGCTCAAATGCACTAAAGAGCCTCCCCCGGAATCACAGACTAAGACCAGCTGTTGCGACTCAAGCACTTTGAGCACCTCTCTGCAATGTTTTGCCCATAGGAGGACAAACTGAGAGAAGAGGTCGGCAGTGCAGGATCCTTTCTCATTCGAAGCTATGTTCGCTTCTGGCCACACAGTTTGCCATGACTTCATGAAGCTGCTGCCCTGCAAAATCACATTGGGAGGCCCGACATGGCCATCCAAGGACACAAATGGCAGCAGAGTCACATGCCCCCACGAAGATGAACAAACCTCTGCCGTTGCCTGCCCCACAGCTTTCGGCGCTGCCACACGATGGAACTTGACCTTCCCGTCCGTCGACTCTAGGCCTTTCTCGTCACACGCCCACAAAGCGGTGCCTGCAGCATCCGTGAGACGACCATTCTTCAAGAGCCCCACCTCTTCCAGCAGCTTTTCCCGACATGGAGAGATAATGAACCCTTGCGTGCCTCCCGAAAATATAACATGACCAAACATGAGCGCAAGAGAATTTGACCGCTCAGGGTGTTGCAAAGTTTTCGTCGCATCCAAGTGGCCAAGGAGTCGTAGAAATTAGACACTGCCGCAGGTGTGCAACATGCGGCCACTTCTCCTTTCAAGGAGAAAACTGCTCGGTCCCGAATGGCCCACTCCTTTGGGTAAGTCTCCTGGACCCATTTCTTGAAGTCGCACCACACCTTGTCTAGCGGGCGTTCGTACCTCATATCCAGCGGTGCAGGCTGCACTGCTTCTGGCATCTTGCATCCGCAAAGTCTTAACAAAAAACACCTAACACATGGCGCTTGATCCGAATTCTTTCAAAACAGTTCTCTTATAAATGATTACGCTCAAAGAAGAAAGCAGCCGGGGCACGCGGAGTAAGCATCCAAGTCAATGGCTGCATCATGTTCCTTCAACTGCTTCTCTGTCAGGACACCTTCGTTCCACAGAACAAATTTGAGAATGCAGCACTTGACCTCTTTGATGGTAAGCGTTCGGTTGCTCAAAGCACACAACATGATGTGTGTATGCAAGTCCTTCTTCTGAGCATGGGTCAAAAGGCCAACTCCGTACCTGCCAGCCATGAAGGCCTGCGGCAGGTTGGAGATGTCGTGACCCTTCTCCACACAGTCAGCTTCATGCTCTTTCACCCGAGCAAGCTTCAGGCGGTTTAGCTTCCACGGCTCAAAGCGTCGTTCCGCTTCTTTGTTTGTCCATTTCTCCTGCTTCGATAAGGCTGCTGCATCCAAGTACATGGCATAGAAATCCTCCACAGGGACGATGTTTCTCTACAAAATCTAAAATATTTACCGGGGTTTGGGGATGGCCGTGCGAGAGAGCCGCGAGTGTACGCGAGAGGGCCGCGAGGCTTAGACCAATCCACCCCTACAACCAGCACTTGCGAGGCGGCCGCAAGAGATGAAGGGTACATGTGTTTCCCCCCCGCCTGGGCACGCTTCAGTTGCACGCTCTTGCTCGGATTCCTCAAGTCTGCCCAGCGCTCCTGAAAGGCAGCCATGGTCAGAGTGCGCGAAGTAGGAACAACCATCTGCGGCTGACGGGTCTCCAAACTGCTTCCTGTCTTCGCATCTTCACAGACTGCCTCTGCGTGACCACAAAAACGAGAGTATGCCACTTTCCAATCCGACTGAGCTTCTGGGCTCATATCCTTCCACTGCTGCAAGGCGTCTCGCCCAGTGATGGCCGAGCCATCGAACTCAGGACCAAGCTCCCGACAAACTCGCTGATACAAGCTGCACCACGACCAGTTTTTGGGCTTACCTTGCCGCAGGTCCTCCTGAACTTCTGGAACAGGCTCGCTTCCTAGGCAAGCAGGCTCTGCGCATGCTTTGGCCGCCGCTGCTGGCTCACAAGAAACAGGGGACAACGGCCGCATGGTGTGGTCTTCAGCTGCGTGTGCCAAGCGGGTCACCTGCGTAATGTCCTCGCCAAGTCTGGCTGCTAGTTCCTGGTTCGATCTGTCAGGTGAAATGTTTTGAAAAACTTGCAAAAAAAAACACATCACACACGCGTGAACACAAAAGCAACACCAGCACATTCAATGATTCTCTTCTTCAAGCCCGTCCTCATCAAAGCAAGGTCGGCAATACAGCGGCAAAGCACTCTGATTGCTCTCACCGATCACTTGCTCGCATTTCGCACAAAGGTTCGGCTCTGGAGGTGAAGCAGGTGGGGGCAAAGGAGGAAGAACTTCAAGAGGACACCCTTCAGAGCGATCCGCATGCTCTACGGTGGACTCATCTGCGCGAACGACCGGCTCTGGAGGTGAAGCAGGTGGGGGCACAGGAGGAAGAACTTCAACAGGACACCCTTCAGAGCGATCCGCATGCTCTACGGTGGACTCATCTGCGCGAACGACCTCATCCAATGCGGAGAAAAGAAAAACCCTGCGCATTCTGGCTGCCTGTGCATGGTGTAAACTTCCGCTATCTCTCTATGTATCTATGTGTGTATCTATCTATCTATCTATCTATCTATCTATCTATATCTATATCTATATCTATATCTATATCTATCTGTCTATCTCTATATATACATATATATATACTGCATCCATGTATGCACTCTGGCAGAAAAACAATAAGAGAGAGAGAGAGAGGGAGAGAGAGCCAATGCCCTCCAGGTGCCCTCCAGCCAAGGTGCATGGAGCCACCTATAGCTCCTAGTGCCCTGCTGGTTCTACTGGGGGTCCTCCCAGCAGCAGCGAAATGTTTTGAAACACGGTCCAAGGGAGTGCAGACCAAGATGCTGCACACTCCTCTGCCTTTGGCAACCCATCTCTCAACCAAAGCTTCTTCTTCTCCTGGCAAAGCTTCTGCAGGTCTGCCCTGCTTCGTGAAGAATTCTCTTGGCAAAGTTTGAGTAGTGCATCTGCTACCTCCAGGTGTAAGGGGGGACAAAAGCAAATGCGGCCAGAAGCTTTCTTGGAAGGATAGTGCACTGCCTAGTTGCGAGTCTCACCATGTGCGAGCTGAGGGATCACATGTCCCTTGGAGTCACCCTCCCTCGCTTGGACGCCTGCCATGTGCCACTGCGATATGCCTGCCAATGTGGCCAATCCTCCCGTGGGCGCTGGTGATCACGAGCCCACCGGCAAGGAATACACACAGTGCCACGAGATACCACCTTGCCACCACTCAGGACAGAGGTGTTCCACGGCTCCGCTTCTGATTCTGCAACCCCTGCAGCTCCAGGACGGCACCCTGAACACACTGAGCAACACAAAGAGCGCTCTGTTGACCCTGTCGGGTTCCGATTGTGGACAGCAGGCTGTGAAGGCCTGCGTTCTCGCAAGAAGGCCTCGCAAGAAAGCAAAGTAGCTAGATCAGCGTCGTCCAGCAAGCGTTTCCTTGCAATGGACGAGGCGTGCTCCGATCATGCCACACGTATGCACATATGTGCGTCAAACAAAATACATGACCCACACAAAAGAAACACCACAGGGACATATCCGAGCGTCAATCTCCGTTTCACAGGAGCTCTCTCATCCACATTGCTCATGTTTGGACCCAAAATGGGCTGCTCGAGCTGGCATCTTTCTCCAAGAAACGGCCCCTGGTGAGGCTCCCCAACTACATGACATTGCCAACCAAACTTGTTGTAATGAATAGAGTTCTCAAAGCAGAATACATGAACAACAATCACACCTGCAAGGAAAAACACCAGTTGAACTACACGCACTTGTCCACAATGATGTCTGCCCCCCAAGGCCACAAGTGATTTCATCAAGTAAACATGCAAACACATCCTGCAAAACAACCGTCCCCCCATGGCCACAGAGGATTGATACGACTTTTCGTGGTGAGATACGATTTGGGTCAAGTACCAAGTATCAGGTTGTGAACGGATATTTTGCTTGCTGGCCTCACACCATTAGTGATCTCAAAGACTCAGGGAGTAATGGATATTGTATAGATGATATGATATGATATGATATGATGTATACACGTGTGCGAGGCCCATGTTTGTCAAAGACCTCGGTCAAATCCCTTCCTCGTGTCATATTTTTGTCTGTCTACGCACAAGCCCCCAGACAAGGCAGAATTTTTGGGTGTCAACCTTTGGATACGAGGCTTGCGCACAAACAACCCTGCAACCAGGAAGAACACCGTGGCGCCGTGGCAGGTATTGGCAAGCTGTGAGAAAATCGTTGTATAATCTTCTACATTCTTCTACCTTTGTAGACCCATGACAGCGACATCTGGGTACTGTGCTTCGCTTGCTGAGCATGCTCAGTGAATGAGAAGAATCAAAGGGCGTCTTTCACACGCTTCGAGGGAATGAGAAGATTCAGCTTCTGTGCACCCAAAACTCGCCAGCGGGCACTGCTTCATGTTGTCATGAAGCGTTTTTGGAATCTTATCCTCAGTGGCCAGCGAGACATCGCCAGTCGAAATAGACTTTCACAGGGGGTCAGTTTGGATATGCCTGCTTTATCCATACTGTTATGGAGGGGAACACATTTCCTGGGAAGAATACAAGCACTGGGATGCAATGCTATGCAATGGGCACTAGGTCGGGTACTAATAACTCACAAATCACGCTTGGAACATTCAGAAGGCAAAAAGAGGATCAGCATACAGAATGATTACTGTAATGTAGACTCTTGATTAACATACCCCCCCATTTGAATTGAACATCCTCGTCAAAAGGGGTGTCTATTAAAATTCTACAGGCTGCAGGGCCTGAATACGTCACACCAGCCCGGGAATTAGCGGAACCTCGGCTTTTTGGGACGAAGCCGGGAAGGGCCAGGAATCAGCGGAAGAGCGGGGCGAAACAAGAGAAGCACGCCTTCTGACGGATGAAGAGATCAACTGAGCAACAATATCGACCCGTTTCTATTGAATCTAATGGATGGGTGTTGAAATAGGAAGAAGGCCTTCCCCCAAAAAACAAAGCATCACCCCAAAATAGGAGAAGTACACTAGACAAATTGGTTAACATCTACGACCCTCAGACGTCGATTGGTGACCTTTTTGGAAGGTGCCTCAGTAGGTTGCACATACCAGAACAATGCCATTTGTAGTTTAAGGGGTAGCCCATTGGACCCGCAGTTTGCAGGTGGTCGGCCCTGCGTATATCACGACTATTGCCAAAATGCAGGCCCAACTATGAGTAGCATCGAATTCATGTCTTTGGATTTCTTCACCCCTTGCAACATCTCAGATGTTTGGCCCCAGCACAAAGCATAGCTATCAAGTCATGACGTGTTTCTCCCGGCGTCACGAGTCATCACGTGTCGTCCCCCCTTCCTCATGCCAGGTGTCCGAAAAGCGGTCGAACATGTCTTGGAAGGTCGTGAGACCTGGTGCCCCGACCCCGGCCAGGCGTCCCTGAAAAGGCGTCCCCGTGGCCGGATCCGAGTCGGGCAGGAATTGGGGGCTCGGTACAGGCTGCAGGTCATTCAGTAGGTTGGCCAGTGCCTCTAACACACCTCCAGCATTCTAAGGATTCCATAGTAAGGTTTCGGCCCTTTCTGATTTGTTTGCGTAGAACCGATCCTCTGAAAGGAAACCCAAACATACGTATTATAGACACCCCTCCTTTTCGCAGGCAATCTACTTGACCAACACGCTTTCCACTAGAAGCGCAGACATGCGCAAACTATTCCTGAAATCTTTTTAAGAGGCCAAAGGTCTTCGGAGGAGCTATCAGGAGGTTTCTGATCCAAAAACTCAATGATGGAACTTCCACAGCGCCTGAAAACTGCTGCGTCAGTACTCATAGAAAATTGTTTGCGCAACCTCGTATAATGTGCTTTGTTAGGAATGCCACTTGAAGCGGGATTTGTTGCATCACACGTATCAAAGGTCGTCTCTTCCGACTGTGTTGTTTTGAAACTTATTGTATGGCATATATTCCTACATTAACCCCCCAAACCACCCCAATGTAGGCAAATATGGCATAGATGGAGTGTCTGGGTTCTGGTTGGTGTAAGTTCTGGCACTTCTCGACCAGTACGCATGGCACGTGGCCATGAGCAAACTCATCTTCCATCTTCCCCCCGACTGGTCCACACTGCCCGCTCTATCAGCTTCAAGGTCTTAACTCTGACTTCGCAAAAAGTCTTTGCTTCAAGAAACATCAAAACCATTCAAAACCCAACCCACTCGTGTACCTACAACTTCTTCAGGATTCTTTGCCCAAGCACGTCATTCTTCGAACAAACAACCGCACCGGGCCATGGCCACCCCGCAGCACCCCCCATCCGTTTTCCCAGCGGCTGGGCAAGCATTCCGCGCCCGTGCCGGTGACGTTCACCGAGACCGAGTCGTAAAGATCAAAGTCTTCACCAGTGGCTGCGGCAGATGGCGCTCAAGACGGCGGGGCGATTTCTCGCGCGGTAGCTGCGGACCGGACAGCAGGGCGGTAGAAGGGCGCGGGGCGGGGCGGAGGGGAGTTGGGGAGCTGTTGCAGGTTTTGGGGCAGAAGGCGGAGGGAGTAGGGGTTGGGGGGTCCATCTGATTCGGAAAGTCCAACACTTTGTGCAGGAAACTTGACCTGAACCTCTTCCAAGTTTGACATGTCCACAGGTGGGCAAGGAAGCCTTTTGTGCTTCGACATGTTGTTCTTCTGTTTGGGCCTTCACATGCTAGATATTCAAGGGTGTGCCTTTATCCAGGCATGCCTAGGTCCCTTATATACACATGGATCTTCAAACGAAACGGCACTATTTTTTTGCCGCGCAAACGTTTTTTTCAGTGACAAGACGCCGTTATATAAAATAACTATTGCTGTTTCAGGGGTTGCAAACATGTGCTCAAAATACAGGGAAAAATGCCGTTTGGACGCCTACCTGCCGGTTTCCGCTTGTCACAACAAAACATGCCGTCTTTGAAAAAGAACGTCGTAACAGCTCGTTTTCTTGAAAGGGGCAATCATTTGCGTCGTTTCGAAGATATCTAAGATCCAGGTATATAAATATGATGCTCCTTACATATCTACATATCTACATGCTGGCTATACCCATGGAAACCTAGGTGAAACATTCCATTGAAAACCAACATAAGTTTCTGTAAGATTCAATGAAATCCAATAGAAATCAGCAACATGTCTGCTCCAAAGTCAATACAATGTTCAATTGAACACCAACAGGAACTTCTGTGTCAAATTTCACATTCTATTGAAACATTGTGAAACAATGCGATTTCAATCGCTATTGATTTGTTCCTTCCTTCGAAATCAATATATTTATTGAACCGGATTGCCCGGAAAGAGTACGGGCCGTCTTTCAAATATGCTACTCAAAAAACTTGAGAATCAGCAATCAAAGCCCAAGATTACTTATGGTGCACAGTGGCACAAGTCAGGAATTAAGACTGGGGCGGCCTGGTCAGAGTTTCTGGAGATACGTTATTTGGAGTCGCTCCATGCATGGGCCTCATTGGTTGTCCACCTTGCAACCCGTGACGTGGGTCATGCAAATACCCGAACTGATTAGTGAAATTCTTGCAACGACTGGTTGTGGTGAGTCCTATGCTTTAAAAAAACAACAATGTGAAAGATTGAATCAAACATAGTTTTGAAGATTCTTACACGTCCCATACATCTGGAAAACACATGCCGGACTCTCAAGCAACGTAGATCCAAACTATAGATCGTATTGAAACTTGAGTTGGTGTCCCACTCTGTCCAAACTCTATCAACATCTTTCAAATCACCAGAATCGGCATCCGAACTCTCGATGGCCACAGCATTCGCCAACTCCCCATGGCCACAAACAAATCGGCTCGCGTCTTCCGACACGTGACCCGCCTCGCGCTTCTCGTTGCCCGTGGAAAGGATCGGCGGTCACATTAGTTCCTCGTCGTTTCGCGGGGCCACGAGCTGGAACGAGCTGCCCCCCGGCCGACCGGGCCATCCATCTGGTCGGCACGTCAACCCAGCGAAGGAAAGATGGACTGAAGCCTGGATTATAGAGTGTGCTTCTCCTGTTTTTCACGGCCTACCAGGGGCCCCACAAACCATCAAACACCGTGTTTTCCCTAGCAAACAACATGGTTGTTGTATGTGAAAACCTTTGTTTTTCATGGTTTTTGAGGGTCCCGGGTGCACACCCGGATCTTCGTCTCCTGCCTGGGGGAACCCCCCTCTCCACATAGTAGTCCTGCTTGCAGGACGCGCACAAAAGCTCAAAGCGAAGGGTGAAAAAACAATCACCATGCCTACAAGGCCTACAACCTACATCAAACAGTTTCTCCAGGGATGTTAACCTACTGAGGTTTTTGCTGGTCTTGTTATCTTAGTTTTCCACCCATGTGTCTCTTATGGCACAACCAAAACCTCTCTGTGTCAATTGCTGGAAATGGATCTGGCAAAACCAAATCTTTGATGAGTATGGATGGCCAGTGGAAAACCAACATGTTCAACTCTGAATTTTGCACGACATGTTGGTTCTCAGATGTGCAAGAGACCTGTCTCAACACCCGACATCAATTCAACACGTGTCGTGTGGACGTGCCTGCGTCTGCCGGATCCGGATGCTGGATGTGATGCCCCCCCCCCTCCGGTTTCTCCTGAGCCTCCTTGAAATCCTTCCAATAGTTTTCCCAACGTCTCCTTGGGAGCTCTCGTCGCCGAACATGACCAACGTCACAGTCGTACAGTCAGTCTCTGGACCTGCTATCCCCAGGCGAAGCCGTTTTGCTCCCAACCAGCCAGCCAGTGAGATGACTTGCATTGATTTCCTAACTCATCTGCTGCACTGTTTCATCCAAATCAGTCCAGCATGGCTAGAACCTCAAACCAAGCAACACCATACCTTCCACCATACGCCATGTTCAAAAGAAAAACAATTTCCGAACATCCACGGAACACATCGACCGAGTTGGGGGGCCACCTATGGCCTTAACAGACTATAAATTACCAAACATGTTCTATTCTGCTTGCATTGATGATGCAGATCTCATGTGTTTAGAGTCAAAAATAACTTCACGCCGACGACCCACAAACTCACAATGCTCCGCAACCAGAGGGCATCCAGCTCAATCTGTTCTGATTTAAAAGTGAACCACACCATAACATATATATTCGACACATCCGATATCATTTGCTCCCACACAAATTCATAGATGTTCTACTCTTTTGCCTATGACAGAACCTTTCATGGGAATGAGTTGAACGAAGGTCTATGGGTTTACAGAGTTCATCATGTTTGCCCCCCCACACCGCACACCCCACAGGCATTGCCGAAGGTGAAAAGAATTGGAGTTTCTCCCGGTCCCGCCTCAAAGTGGCCCAAATGGGTGTGTATTTCAATAGGGAGACCCCAAACCAATGGGTACTACCGTGGTCATGACTGGTCTATTTCCCTTCCGGCTCAGGACGCCTGGGAGGTCTCTCTGAGCTACACTGCGACCTGACGTTTTTGGGTCCCAGTCTCTTCTCTGCATCCTCCCAAGACCTCGGCGAAAGCATCGCGCCAAGAACGGTCACCCGGAGAACGGAACTCACCAGAGTAGGTGGACTTCCTTAGCACCCTAAAGATCCAGTCGCTTCTCAGGTACGATGAGGACTGTTCGACACTCAAACATGTAGGCCAGGAGGGTCCAGTCGTACCGGATCCCTAGGGGCAGTCCGTGGGAACCCCGGCGCCATGACCCACACCCATACACATTGGGCACTAGCTGTTGACGGGAGGGATTGCTCTGGTGGTTTACGGAGGTGTCTTGAAAAGAAACCAAATAAACAGCCACCCTCAAGACTCCTCCGGAAAATCTCAGCCAATTCTTGGCTTGGAGAGAGAAAATCAAAGTGGCTTTAACCGTTTGATTGGAACCAACGCGTTCAGCACATGCAGAAAACAACAAAAACTGCGCTTTTGGGTTCTCGCATGCTGTGCGGCAACATCGAGCGCCAGAAACCGACAGACTTACAACCTATAGGCCTATATGGTTAAAACTGTGCTAACATACTATATGTATAATACAGTGTATATATAAATTTAATGTACCTGTCCTTAAGTCTCTGTGAAGGTTAGGCTTGGATAATTATATATATATAGTAAGAGCTTAGATAGAGTTTTGTCAAAAGTCAAACCTAACTCAAATAAAGCTAGCTTGGAATCAGTTTGGAATAGTTTGGACATAGTAAGTCCAACCCATGTCCGACCGAAGTCCAAACCAAGCCTGAGCCAAGTCCTACGTAGCCAATCTGGCAGAAAATACTTTGACAAGTATTATTAACCCTTTTAGGCCTGAAGTAACATCAAGAACTGTCACTTCGACCAATGCAAGCTTGTTGTTCAGAAATATTACGCTGATTATTAGTAAACAAAGGGAGATCTTTGTAGTGCAGACAGCGCCACTGGAGACGCACAGAAGGATGCCACCATCAGTAATGATCATTAAACAACAAAAGTGGAAATTCAGTTTAACATCCGCCGAAGACATCCGCTGTTGCACTGTGAGCCATCATCATCCGTCATCCACAGCGCCGGCGTGAAGTGGTTGTTTTTGTTGGAACCTCTCAACACGAAGGCATATATTGGGATACTGCTGCTGCTAGTAGCCAAACGGACCAGATACCGACCCTTGCTTTAAACTTCTTGATAGTTTCTTACTGCAACCTCTATTATAAAAGTTAGACTTGACGTAGCTTGGACTCAGCTAACTCTATAGAGGTTAGCAATTGCTCTGTCTCAAAGTTAAGTAAGCTAAAGCTAACTTGGACTTAGCTCGGACTTAGTCAGTCCAACCTAAGTTCAGCTGAAGTGTAACCTGAATGCAAGCTAAGCCTACCTTCACTAAGTCCAAACTAAGTCACTGCTAAGATCTGCTAAGCGTTTAACTTGTATATGTCTATCTTAAACTTACAGTAGCTGTCGACTCAGCTAGCTGTCGACCCGGCGGTCGTTCAGTGAAAGGAAACGGGGCCGCTCAGTGCTGAGCGCCGCTACAAATCATGCGTTCAGCAACACAAAATCCGAATGTCTGAACTTCCTGTGTGTTGATAACCTCCAAAGGATTCCAAAGGTGTTTTTTGACAAGCAAACATTGCCAAGGCGCCAAGGGTGGTGCCGATGGCACTTTCTATTGTGTCTTCTTCAAGTTCTTGTGTCTTGCGTATTGATCTTCTGGTATGGAGACATCGGCAACATCGATTCTGTTTGGTCAATTGGAAACTAAACAAGAACAAATAAACACATCCAAGAACGCAATTAAAAAACAAAACGCCGATATCTCCGTTTGGCAATCGATCCGCAGCTGCCGCTGATCCATCTGGGTTGCAGCTAAGCTTCTGTGCTGTCTGGGCTGCAGAGCCACCCCAATTGCCCCAGCTATCATTCTGCTGTGCAGGCTGCTGCGCAGGCTGCTGTGTGCCAGACCAGTTTCCCCAAGCGGCATCGCCACCGGCCTAGGCAGGCCGATCCGATTGAAAGTCATGCTCAATTGGATCTGATTGGAAAGCGGCTAAGCATGGCGACTCCGCTGGGAAGGGGTCCTTTCGAAGTTGTCAACAAAGAAGTTGAGCACCTTGCAGCACCTTGCATTTCATTGACATATAGACGATGTAGGTCGGAGGCCTGGAAAATGGTTACGCTGAGAAAAAGGAACATCTCCGCCTTTGGGAGCTCTTGAAACTGATTTTGCATGGACCCACCTCTAAACTTGTGGCCTATGCCATGCACCTGAAAATGAGCCCCAAACGCAGCTTGCCCCACGGATGTCAAGATCCGTAAGGTGGTAAATCCGCCAAACCGGTGTCCTCGAGAGTTCAAGGGGGTGGATCTCTGGCTCGAACGATCTCCGACATCGTCCAGCGACCGACAGAGACGACACCCCCGTGCGATCGACACCAAGTGCAGCCGGACGAACTCCGTGTTTTGACCGAACAAACAGAACCAACATACCATGTACCAAAATACGGCCCCCATCGAAACCCGGGAAACCATCGATTGGGTGCGCCAAAAGGGTAAGACACCCTAATTGAGGAACAAAACAATGGCTGGCGCACCATCCATGCAGTGTCCAGCGAACCAGCGAAAAGGATTCGGCTCAAGAAGCTTCTTGTTTTGAGACACAAGTTTTAGAGCACCAACTCGGATTATTCTTTCTTGGCCAGCCCAGGCTTTTACACACTTTGATCATCTTTGATCCAAAGGTTGCGACTGGAAACCCATAATATGGCCGATATCCCTTTCTTAGAGGCAGAGTCCAACATCTTCAGAGTTTGTGATATTTTCTTTGGTATCTTAACGTGACAAAATCATCTGAAAAGGCCCAAGAACCAAGAAATTGGATTTACTCCAGCACCGGTCCATAGACTCAAACTCCAGTTGCTTTGAGCACGGTGCATTGACTCCAAATCTTCTGTGCATGGCATGCAGCCACTGGGACGGCCATATGTACAATTGACCGATCAGTTGGGGTGCTTTGGGGCATCAACGCAGGCCACCATATATTTGCATATCACACACGGAGCGTCTCTGTCTTTTTTTGGTGACGTCTCCTAACGTGGACAGTGCCGTCGTCGGTTCGGAAGAAGCGAACCTGAAGAACGCACCTGGTTTTTCAGAGAAACATCGCTGAGCCCGTTCCACCCAAGCGGCTTGGGCCTTTGGCTGGGGTGCATCCCGCTAGTTCAATCTATTTGAGACGACACTTATAGGTGGCTCATGGTGGTTCCGTCAAACTCCTCGGCCATTGGAGGACCAAAGAGAAGCACCATCTTTGCACCGGTCGAGACCGGCTGGCAGCCAGGTTTCTTGATTTTGTTGACTCCATCCATTATCCTCGGCCATCGCAGGATCTATCCTTTCACGAAGACGAGCGACACCTCAAAAACCTCCGAGCTCACAAACAAGGATATGCACGAGATCCTGTGGCCTATCGCGTCATTCTGGCCATGACTGCGGCCTCTTGACGTATTGCTGAGAAGAGAAAAGACAAACACATACAAAAACAGTCCTTGGTGCGAATTGCGGATCCGCAAATCCACTTCAAGAGCAAGTAACCTGGTTCCAAAGAAACTGTTCCCTGCGGGAGGTTCTGCCATGTTTTCTGGCCAAAAGGCTTGTCCTCCCTGGTTCCAGCCATTGTCCTTAGCCGCTAGCCCCAAGCTGGCACGAATCGAGTCTCTCTTCCCGACATCCTCCAGGTGCGTCCTCCCATGGTCTCACTATGCGTCATGATGCAAACCAGCGGGTGAACAAATCTTCGATCTGCCCGGGTTTCGCAACATGTCACAACCAAACGTGGGCAATGCATGGTCCAAAGATGGAAACACAACATGTCGAGTCAACAGGGGCTGCTTGGACCTTACCTAAAAACCGCCATGCAGAATTGGTGGCCTTGCTGCAAAACACAGCACTCAACACTGAAGGGAAGCTAGCGAAACTGTCCGCCAAATTGGCCCTACATCTCAGCACGTCTGTATGCACGAGTTACACATTCATCGAGACGAGACAAACAGCCAGCTGGGATGCTGTTCCTCGGGGTTCCGTTCCCGCAACTCGGCGATTGGGTGCCCAACAGCATGCTCGTCCTAAAGGAATGCGGGTGTGTAAATTGATGGGAGCCCAAACCCAATAACGCTAATAGGTTTGGTCCATGTTCCTTTTTCCGGGGGGTCGAACTGGGAGGTCTCCCTACTTTTTTACAAACCCATGTTGTGGGAGGCCTCAAACACTTTTAGGGCCGTGCTTCTTGCGCTCCTTGATTCCAATCCTCAGTGATTGCACAGGTGGCTGGTGATGGTTTGAACAATGCCCCATGCAAGTCGAAAACATTATAGGCAAAAACAGTCAGACTCAAATCAAATCAATGTTCCAGCACCCCCATTTGGTGCTGGCGAGGCCCTATACTTGGTTTTTCGGTCAGAAGAGCTTGCGACAGTCTTCAAAACCAAAGACTGCAACAGTGTACAGCACACTTTGGTCTGTTCAGCACAGTGCACTGCAAATGAGTTCATCTTCCGTGTTTGGTGTACATTGTGCAACCAAACTCCTTTTGGTCGTTTCGTCTATTCCTTACCCTCTCACACCTCAGCATGGTCATGTCAGCACTTTCGCATGACACCCATACCACATATCCCCCAAACAGCTGCAAATGATTCCCGGCTGGAGCTGAAACCTCCCTCCAAATCGCCTCGCATCCGGTTCGGAACATCCCAAATCGCATCCGAACGGGGAGCATGGTATAGTTTGGTATAGTATATGAGGTGCAAAAGGATGCGATTGCCCTTGACACCTTCAAACACATTTAAATCATGACCAATAAGCCCTTAAAAACGTGTTGAATCCACTGGTTGGTCTGGGGAACATGGTGCGTCGGTCTTCTACCATCTTCTACCCAACACTCGACACGAAGACTGTTTTATCACTCCATGGAAGAACCAAGGTTCTGCAGCTTGTGGAGCTTGGGCTGGCTGTGTATTGTGTGCATAACCTCGAAATGCAAGGGGAGATGGCCAGTACCCGAAGCGGGCCCGCACTGTTGCTGGAGGCTCCAGTAAAGCCCTCTCAATACTGTCATGATTTCGGCTATAGAAACATTCACCCCATCATGGCTTGATTGCGCTTGCGAAAAAGCAAACACTTGCGACCCGGCGGGCACTAAGTCACTAAATGGACCGGCTGGGTGTGTGAGTGTCTGTTTATACGCAGAAAAAGACGTAGAAATAGGAGCTGACAAGCGGCTTCTCCATGGAAAGGGGTTTGTCTCCATCAAGTCACCAAAATGATTGGTTTACAATGGTTTACACAAGCATTGACCCCACGGCGGAACCGGTGACCGGATTGGGCGTGGCCACCATGAAGAAACCGATCTGATGAGGATGAGACTATGATATCTGTCCAATCGATGCAAGCGGTTGGCCTTTCTCTGCTGGAGAGAACACCTCTGACACACAGGCTCCTCAATGCAAAGCTGTGCGAGTGTGGCGAGTAGATGTACCAAGGCACCACCATCCTGACTCCACTGTTGTTCTCCTGGCTCCGAGCTACTAACACGGAGAGAGCACTGTTCAGGTGGAACAGCTCCCGCGGGACGTCCGCGAGGTGTGGGGAAGGTAAAAAGCAAATTCATCCTGAGGCATCCCAAATTGAAACGGCCGGAAAGAAACACAAAACAGGAACATATGTGTCTCCGATTCGGATGGGAATCTTTTAAACGTAAGAGAGCAACTCATGTAAGATTAGGTGGTAATTGTCTCCCTTGTTAATGCACCCTCCAACTTCTTGCGTTGTTGTCATTTGTTCCATAGACTTCTCTCAGCCTTGTCTATATACGCGTCCACATAGCAACGGTGGGTTACAACTCGCCTAGGATGACTGATAACACAACAACCTCGTGCCATCTGTATCCCCAAGGTGTTATTTTTTTGCCAAACTGTCACATCCATTCTGACTCCAGCATTGCATGGTGTACCTCAAAGTCGGCAAGTGCTCCAAATAATCCAACACACACCGTTAGAACATATCAAACGCAAGAAAGACACTGCACTTCATGCATGTTCATCCTGATTCACAATCTCCACCCATATATAGCTTATTACAAAAGATGTGTTTCACTCAAGCCACACAACAACTGACGGACTCTTCGCTCTCCAACCGACTTCCCCACGGCCAACTTCCGCCGTGAGCGAGAAGGACCGACCGGGCGACTGGGCGACGGGAACGTGACGTGTGGGAAGCGATCAACGGGAAGTCCTTGAAGCTTACACTCCGATCTGAGAAATCCTTGAATCCCTGACCAAACTCATGGGTTCAACGTGGGATGGAATGGGAAGAGATGGCACTCTGTAGACGGATGACCAGTTTCTTTTGTCAAAAACAAACAGGTCGGGTGGTGAACTCTACTTCCCTGATTTGAGCACTTGAGGGGGACCAAAAATCCGCGAAAAGGTTTCTTTAAGGTGATCCATCTTGGAGGGTGGAAAGAAATTGAAACCGCAGTGCGCCCCATGTCCTCCTGACCATGAGTTGCTGGTAGCCACAACTGTCCTGGGCACTGGCGAGATGGTTTGACATCGAGATTGGTCTATAATGGGCTGTTGTGAGGGATAATGGGTCACTGTTCTTGGGGTGCAATATATCCCTACAAGTCCAAAGACCCAGTAAAAACCTGGTTCGTTGCCTCATTGAGTAGTGTTTTTGTATGGCCAACTCCAGCAAAATGAGGACTTGTAGGCAACTTGTAGGGTACCCTTTTGGAATGCATACAACCTACGTATCTCACATTGAGGGAGACCACAATGCAGGAAGGAATATATGTATATGGGGAAACACATATAAAAATTATGTGGCGGCCAGAACCTTCTTTTTGTCTTGGACGTCCAGGACAAAGTCTTCACCTGCCATGTCTTTAAGCAAGCCTTCCAAACACTAAGAGACTATATACCCAAACACTCCATGGGATTGGTATATATGGCGATCAGTTGGCGTAGTATATATATATATATCATACATGGAGTGTCCGGGATAGTTGGTGACATATCTAAACCAAACTGAACACTTTTCTACCTACCTGGGCGTAGGTCGTCCTGGTCCCAGTCTCACGAGCTAGAATGAAAACTCGAACACGTCCAGTCCAAATACACACCTTAGAATCATCATGGAAGTGGAACACCATTGATTTCTAGAGGAGCACGGCTCATTTAGGAGGCGATGGCATCAGCTTCCATGATGATTCCAGCTCCGTCCTGATGAGTAGCAGTCAATGACTCAATTCATCCCACTCCCTGCAGTCCAGTTGCTCTCCTCCACCTCAGCAAAAGGCAGAAACATGCTTGGTGACCATCCCCCTGTTCGTGACGTCTGAAGTGGAAGAACTGAAAAACTATGTCCATCTATTTCCACTCGTACAAATGGACGATTCACACCAGTTTCCAACCTACCAGCCAATCGTTCACGGTATTTACTGATGAAGGTGGCGCGCACCAAAAAAACCAAGCAAATGGATGGCGTGCAACAACGAGACTCTCAGCCGCGTGCTTAAGCTGCGTGGGCTTATGTTTAAGCCACACAGCCGTCACAGCCTAGCCTGGTCTAGCATGGTCTACCCATGTCTAGCCATATGGATAGGTATACCAGGTACCCGGACTCAACTGCTCAAAGAACTCACTGAGTCCGGGACCGATCTCTCCGCCCTCCCAAGAGGTTTGCGGCACCTCACTGGGCCTCGGCCGCCCAACGCCACATGTTGCAACTCTGGAGGGGCAAGGTTAGGGATACGGAAAGGTTTGAGGGAATGTTGCTTTTGTCAATAGCTGGACTTGTTCGACTTGTGGTGTTCTGGAGAGGGGTCCAAAAAAACAACGGGGCTGCAGTCTCTGTTTCTAGGAGTGGGGAGGGGGTAGGGACAAAGCAAGAAGATGCATGTCACACAGTACAAGTACCGTGTTGTTGTTGTTGTTGGTGGTGGTGGTGGCGGCGGCGGCGGCGGCGTGGTGTTTCTTCTTGTTTGTCATACATGTTCGACGCCAGGTCCTTGTTCACCGGCAGTGATGGCTGTAGAATTGGCTTCAGATACTCGTGTGACTGTTGTTTTCTTTGCAAACACTGTGAGACGTTCCAACAAACAAACAACAAACAAAAGATCACACAGTTCACAATGAACTTGACTTGGAGCTTGAGCTCAGAGTTGAAATTCAATGAGGATGCAATCACATATCCGACGGTGCCTCCAAAAAGGATAGTGGCAACAACGTTAGAGCTTAGGGACAAGGCCCAATAACACAGTCAACATTAGAGCTTAGATACAAGAACGCTAGAGCTTAGCCTCGTCCCATCTTGCCGCCAACAGACTGCGAGGGCTGTGGATATGTCCTTAGACCGGCAAAGGCCGGTGCTCTGACTCAATCGCATGGAATACTATATGGATCCCCCGTATTCTACAGACTCCTGATGAAGATGCCCCCCCCATGCGAAAAAGGTGTTGTAAACGGAATGGGTTTGTTAACCAGCCGTCGGAGTTAGATGGACAGCTGGCGCTGCTAGCTGAGTTTCAGCTCCATGAAACAAGAGTTGTGCCTGAAGATTCTGAAAGGCACCCATTCAGAAGGCAATTCCAAGACTCATAATCGCTTCAAGGACCTGAACCAACTGCGACCATCCCCACGTCACCCGACCAAAAGAGGTTTTTCGCGACCTGAAGAGAAGGACCCGTATACCCTCTGGGTACAACATAGTAAGGAGTCTACAAAAAAACCCACTGAACTTGTGCATCTCTGGACGTATCTAAATGTATATAGTCACCTATATAGTCCAAATAGGCTTCTGATCGCTCCAAAACCGATCTCCTCACAGTCTTTCCTCCTTCGTTTAGACCCCGGGGAGCCGCGAACCCACCGCGGGAGCGCCGGAAGTTCCGCTTCGCCACCGGTGTCACCCGAGGCTCGGCCCATAAGAGGTTGGAGGCCCTGAGGGAGCTTGGCCTTGGTCGAGAAGCAGCGCGGACGGCCCAGCACCGAGGCTTCGGTTGTGCTGAGAAGACGGAGCCGAGAAAAGAGTGCACTTCAACTGTCGAGATTTGGATTCCGGGAGAAGGGGGTTTGACCCAGAGGGACAAGAACAAACATCATCCGAATTGAGCAAAACCAGGTCTTTGTGAATTTCTTCTCCCCTTCTCACCAGCCAAGGGGCTGTCTCCTTGCCATGGATCGCTCTCCTGCCAGGGGTCGTCCATGGCGTGCAGCCCGGAGCGTTTCGGAGGTGGGAGGTGGCCGGGAAGAAGACCTGGAGCCCGGCCGCGCGAAGACCTGGATAAGCTGAAGCGGACTGCATATAGCCTTTGCCTGTCAGCTGCCGGATGCCTGTATTCCACATGCTGAGTACAGGAAGCGTAGCAGGATGGTGTTCGTGTTCATTAGTTTTAAAGAACTGTTGGGAAAGCGCTGTCTATCTATCTATCTATCTATAGAGTCGGGATGCAATTTCTCATGCAATTCCACATGTTCTAAGTGTGTTTGCCTGGAGCAAGGGCCACCTTCCCCATTCAACCTTCAGCATGGGCGAGCTACTAGCTCTCCCAATACCAACACGTGACACATGGATGCCCACTTATACTTTTGTTGCAGGTTAGTTGAGCTGTCCTGATGTTCTAAGTGGTGATCACAAGAGGCACCTTCGAGTCATCTACAAAGATAACAGTTCATCACCTGGGCATTCAGGATATTGTCACACCCGCAATTGCTCAAAAGAAGCATTTGCTCTAAGGTTTTGCAGCCCGAACGTTTTACATCTATATATGGAGTACTACCATCCAGTTATAATGCAAACCTTTGTAGTTTTGAACACTCTTTACGCCCATATCATCGATCATCATCGATCAAGAGGAGGCTGCGTTATATACCCACGAAGCAGGAACAAAGCTGGAAAACAGTATGTGCATGTATGTGCACCAAATCAGATTGGGCATGGGTTGCGCTGCCGATCAGTACACAATCGCACCGGAAGCCAGAATCTTCGAGTTCTTGATGTCTTTGTTCTAACCATGCTTGGGGAGATTGTTCTAAGTGATGTTTGCTGTGGGTTTGATGTTCTATGTAAAGGATTTGGGCATGTTCTAAGTCAAAGGCTAAGAACATACCACATGTTCTAAGTGATGTTTGTTCTAAAAAAAACTGATGTTCTAAGTAAAGGGTTTGAAATCGGTGAAATCTTTTTTGTTCTAAGTGGTTGTCCGTCACTATAGGTGCTGCCAGGATGAAATGTTAGAATAGGCTATGAAGCAGCAGCTTAATTGAGGAAGCATGCAAGAAAATGCAACAAATCTTATTTCCCAGCCCAGCCTCTGGAATTCTTTTTGAGCAGCATCCTTGCGGCAAACCATCCAAATGTGAAAGCGGCGACCATTGGACCTTGGGCCCTCACACCGTTTCACGAATGCGACCAACCACATCAACGATTCTGCCATGCTCCAGTGCTGTCACCACAGGACTGCACTCCATGTTTGGGAAAAAAGGTGGTTCGTTTTTTGGAGCTGTGAGGCTTGTGCTGCACAGCAAAACGAAACCGACCGATGCCGGGCTCACGTTTCGGGCCCACTGGTAAAACGTTCGGCTGCCGAACGCAACGTTCACCCAAAAAAGGATCCTGATGAGTGCTTTGAGCGACTGTTCGAAAGTCATCTTCTCAAAGCACGAGCAGGGAATATCTATAGAACTAAAGACTCTAAAGTCATAGTCAGTCTACAGAGCCGAGCAGTCAAAAATGCTGTGGGTTGCTTTGAGCGACTGTTCGAAAGTCATCTTCTCAAAGCACGAGCAGGGAATATCTATAG